TTCCGATCTGTAGTTTACATGTGAATTGAATAGAAATTTATATTGTCACTTGCCTCAAAGCAAATACCAAACAGACATGCCAGTGGATGCATGCAAGTCTAGCGAAGCCTGTCGCTTTTGTGATAAATAATACAATATATACAAATACAGGTTTGCAAACATGGCGTCGGGCATCATTTGTGTTACTGAGATTAAACTGAGGATATTTTTAAACCTGAACAAGGCCAAGAAGGTTTACTAAGATGCACAATTATTTCAGTGCCAGATTTTGTACAATTTTTATAATCCAATTCTGATATAAGTTCAGTTTTTATAATAAGACTAAAACTGATTCATTTTCAAAATACAGTCATAGTCATAGAATCAAATTTGTTGATAAATCTTGAAATTAGGATTCTGTTGTTATTTATAAGACAGGTGTGTAAAAACAGCGACTGCTGCTTTGAAATTAATGAAATAAATTTAAAGCATACTGGTCGCTAATGAGTATTGAAAATAATTATTTTATTATTCTCCCTTTCATTTTGAGCTTTTATAAAAAAATAGCCCAAGTTAATTTAAACAAAACGCTCCACGGAGCGTTAAGTCGCTGGCGCGATGAAATATGCACGAGTAATACCATCAAAGGACAGCGTTTTTGTTTTTATCCTCATTTGCGGAATCCGCGTTTTATCCTCATTTGCGGAATCCGCTTACGGAATCCGCTTCCGCAATCTGCATTCTGGTTCCGCGTTTTATCCCACCCCCTTGAAGTTTGCAGTTTGCCTGGCAGTTAGTGCTAATAGTTAAAACAAGTATAATCATGCATGTGGCAATGTGGTTTTAATAGTCGTATATGAATATAGTATAGTGTATTGTATGCGTTAAAATTATAAGCGTTTATCCTGTTGTCATTACACATATTGGCTGGTGTTATGTTACCAACTGGCCAAGTTAAAACCGAACTTTAGCTAGCTAGTTAGTGCGTCGAAGGCTGGAAGGCAAGAAGATTCTTCGGCTCGAAACAAGACGCATTATAACGTCTGTCTAATACAATAATGCCTCGTGAGAGGAGAGGTATTTCGCATGATTACCAATAGACTGCGAGCAATCCCTAATAAAATAGAGTGATTGCCGCTTTAACTAATTGTCAAGGGTGTTTGATTAAGCTCCGCCTACTTGTTTATATTTCAAAACAGGGTCAAAAACATCTCCTGAAAGGCGCGGTCTCGAATGACTCAATTCGCTTAGGGTAAAACCATCAAACAACGTGTATTTAAATTCTCAAATTTCAGTTTGGCAAGTATGAATATTCATAATCAGAATTTGTCTGGCAGGAAAACATATAAAGCAAGGCAAGGGGTCTTAGGGTTTATTGAAGGGTCTATTCTATAGACTGTGACTTTCTGCGACAATATTTTGACATAGTTTAATAGTTTACAGTAATAAAAAATTACCAACTTAATACAGCTATTAAGCTGAATTACATGGTTAAGATTTACAAGGAGTATTTCTAATTTATTTAAACTAAACCTCTATGCCTCTATGTTTACAAAGCTTAAAATTTAAACTTGAAAATTGGAAACATGCAAATGTATACGAATGCTAAAACTATGAACTATGAATTAAGACGTTTAGAACTTGCAATTATGAATGTGTTCATGTATCTATTACTAATCTCTTTGTCCTCAGGGATTAATGTGCAGTATTTGAGTTCAAATCCCACAATAGTGCCGCGAAGTTTGCGATTCGGATCTTCAATGATTTCTGTATCCGTTCAATGTCTTTACTCAGGTAATTTGGGATTCCGTAATGAAAAACGGGCGATGCATATTCTACTGTCTCGGTCGGATGCAAGTACAATAAAAACAAATCATCTCAGCAGCGGGTACGTTCGCACGTTTTAACTGATGTAAAAATACAATCTTTTAGAGGCTTTCTTAATTAATGTTACATTGATACTGTCAACATGACTATTCCATTTAAGATCAAAACAATACATACAATATACAATGGGCCATTCCTTTATTAAACGCACCCCCCCCCCTATTGAGGGTTTTCAAAAAATACCCCCTGGATATTGAGGGTTTTCAAAAAATACCCCCTGGATATTGCTTTTGTTGATTTCTCATTTTAACATTTCCCGTGGATTTTGTAAACCTTTGTTAACCTATTGAGGGTAACACAATTTCTCCCCCTGGATTTTTGAATAAAAAATTTGTAAATGCAAAAATTTTTTCCCGAAAATTTTGGCGATGGGGGGGTGGAGGGGAGGTCATCTCAAAAAAATGTTTCCGGACATGCAAAAAAAATTTCGGATATATCATATTTTTCCCGGAAATTACAAAAATTTTCCGGAAATAACATAAATTAAAGTTTTCAAACGTGCCCTTTGGGCAAAAAATGCCAATAATTGTTTACTGGCATGGATTTTTTAACATTTCATATTTTTACTACCATGGATTTATTTTGTTTAAATTTTTTCCATTTGGATTTTTATTTGGATTTTTTTATATTTACCCATGGATATATCTTGAAAAATTTCTTTCTCCTAATGGATTTTTGTTCTTTGGACCCCCTGGATATCCCAACCCTCAATAGGGGGGGGTGCGCATATTAAATGGAATGGCCCATTGATTGTTTGTCATTGTTATAAACAAAAATTTAAATTTCGCC